TGCAACTAAACCTGAGCAAAATGTTTATTGTCCTCTCTTTACTGCCACCTCTTCTGCAATCCTCTTGACCAGACACTGCAACTAAACGTGAGCAAAATGTTGCCTACAATAAAAACACAACACTTTTCTAGTGGCACCGAAAGGTTGTTGCCACCAGGGCGAGAAGTTGCAGACCAGATCTTGCAACAGCTAAACACCATTATTTTGGATCTGGCCCTATCATCGCTTGTCCAGAGACATAGAATGTGGACTGCAGAACCCTAAGAAACTTGCCCAATACCACACGGTGATGGCCCACCTGAGGTTCAGCTAGCATGTGATTCGCGTACACGGTGATGGCCCACCTGAGGTTCAGCTAGCATGTGATTCGCGTACCTTGCATCGTGAGGATTAGCTCGTGCAAATTCTTGTTTTCATACATATAATGACAGTCAACATGGTACTCACGTATGACACCCTGACATAAGATGTCCTATTTGTAGACAATGTTTGGGATGGTTGTGCACGCATTCCATGTGAAAGCAGATGGACATGGTGGACCTTGTATCTCTTGGAATGTCACTACATATATAACTATCGCTAAGTTCCTGCCTGTGACATGTGGACGATTGGGGCCCTCCGATTTTTGCTGCGAGTCGGTCCCGATCGTCTGCTGATCGCTTTTTCTTAGATGTGTTGCCAGGGCCAGTACCGGCCCCGCATGTTAGTGCCGGCACCACACTTGGTACCGGGCCTGTGCACCAGAACCGGTACCACACAAGGTACTGGGCCCCCACTCTAGTACCTGTACTGTCGGACGTTGCCGTGCCAGCGCCAAGGGGCCACACGTAACAAACTTTTTCCGATTTTGGGAGGCGGTGTGGGAAAAACCGCGTGGCCCCACACCACGCCTGCCCTGCAATCGACTTCGACTTTTCATATCCTAAGGCTACAGCGCTCGACTTCGACTGACTTCTGCGCTGCTATGCTTGACTACGACTTCACTCTACGTTGGACACGCACAAGCACACACAATCACAGTCACAATCACAATCACAAGCACGCACGCATGCACGCACACACACACACACACACACACACACACACACACACACACACGCAAACGTGGTGAGTCCTTGGCCATCAGTACAGTTCGTCTTGGGCGAACTGTTGGGGTTCAACGTCCTGATGAGTCGGTGGAAGTCCGACGAAACAGTCTGGCTGAGTCATTTTGTGAGTTCTGTATAGCCAACATAACAACACTCACACATACTCAGACTCACTTGCACAGAACGTACACGCCCACACACACGCACACACACATACACACACACACACACATACACACACGCACACACACACACAGACACACAAATACACCCACCCACCCAGGACACACCATCTCTGCATCCTGAATGTTGGACAGTGTAAAGGCTTTAAAACGACCGCACCTTGATGACTGATGGTGAGTTTGTTATTTCTGTCTGTTGCTTTCGTTTTTTGTGCTCTTCAAACTATGAGAGAGAGAGAGAGTGCGTATGTGTCCATGTGTGTGTGTGTGTGTGTGTGT